GGGGGACTTGAGGCTGCACGCGGGCGCCCCCCGCGACGGCGAGAAGCGGAAGGTAAGGACCAGCACAGCAAACCTCAGGCGCGTACTCACGAAGGCGCGATGTCCAGGTGATTGATGCTAAACCCGGAAGAGCAGAGGCCTCCCAGGGTGGTCGAAATGGTCAGGAACGCGACAGCCAAAGAATAGTTACAGCCTATGAATCCAGCGGCCACCAGGAACACCGCAGGCCCAATCATTCCTGGAGGGAAAAGGTGGAAAAGGACAAGCAGTTCGGCACCCGCACTTGCCCTCGGTTCAGGCAGGGCGGAGCTGAGACTTGACACTGCTGCCACCTGCTGTACGAAATGGGAACTGACTTCGTCTCAAAAAAACTTCCGTCAAGAAAACGTACGGGACTTTGCGACTGACTACTGGAAAAGTCAAAGGAAAAGTCATGCAGTATCACCAATTGCATGTGACCTGCGCTCAGCTGAAGGTTTGCAGTGTCAGAGAATATCAAGAGAATGACTGGGGCCCGGGAGATGGCTCAGTAGAATAAGCGCTTGCCTGGTGGGCGCAAGGGCCCAAATTCAATCCCCGGTTTCGCAAAAGAGAGAGAGGGAATGACTGAGGCCAGCGTGGTGGTGCATTCCTGTAATCCCAGCACTCAGGCGGCTGAGGGAGGAGCATGGATACGAGTTCGAGGCCATCCTGGGCTACAGAGTGAGTTTAAAGCCAGCCTGAACTACACAGCATGAACTACACAGCAAGACCCTGTCTCAAAAAAAAAAACCCCAAAACACATGCATAAAAATGCTCCGCCGCGGTTCTGAGGTTGCTAAGCTGGCACAGGCCACCCCTGCAGCCGAGATCAAAAGCAGGCCACAGCACCAGGGCTTCTGCAGGGGCGCCAGGGCTACCCGGCAACTTCAGGAGAATCAAAGTGTATCTGTGTCCTGCCAGCCGGGACCTTACCAGCATCTCCAGGCCCCGCGGAGCTAGTCTCAGCTACACGCTGCACTAGCAGGGACCCAGCAAGCCACAGAGAAAGGCAGGGCAGCAAGGGAATTTCTCGTGCACGCGGGTGGGCGTGCTCAAGCCCCGCACCGCGGTGTCCTGCAGCCGCAGGGGCCCACAGGTGTTAGCACAAGAACCCGGATGAGCCCTTCTGCAGCGTCACGACCGACACCGCCCTGGTAACTGCAGGGTCTCTGGTCACCGAGACCTTCAGAAAGCTGAACAGACTTGGCCTTAAGTTTAGCTTTCTGAAAGCAGAATCCGAAACACACGATCACTTACGGTTCCTCCGAGAGCCTGGTTTGCTGCCCATCATTTGTTACGAGGCGGCTGCGGCTCTGCAGTTCAAGGCGTGTACTCTGCCGAGCCCTGTAACTGCGGCCCCAGGAGGCTGAACTCCAAAACCCACAACAAATACACAAAAACAAAACTGCAACAAAAACAGCCAAAGATGGCAGTGAGGAATCCACTGCAAACTTCTAGCTAAACACAAAGTGATGAAAAAAAA